CTCCCTGCTCACTGCCCACAGCTGGACTGGAGGGTGGGAGCTTAGCTGGGCTCCGTGATGCAGACTCTAGTTTGGTGGTGAACTCACCTTCTGGGGAGACAGCCTCCATGAGACTGTTCATTTAACTGGGGGAAGATAAAGGCTACTTAGACCTCTCGGGGGTGGACAGAGGCTTTCCGGGTGAGCGCACATCATTGGTGGGGCCATGGTGCTGGGAATGTCTTATTTGCATGAAGAGGAATTCCAGGTGCTGGCTGGACATGGCTGCCAGGCTAGGTGACCACCTCAAGAATAGCAGAGGGGCGGGGGTGTGTAAGGCCCAGGGCAGGCAGGGACTGGCCCTACTCCTACTGGCCTCAGGATGACTTTGTCAGAGTTTGGGCACACCTTGACGCCTCTCTTTCTCCTTGGTTCCACAGTGGATTCCAGGCCAGCCAGGGCTATAGAAGAAAACTCTGTCTCAACACACATGGTTCCCAGGGAGGTCCTGTGCCTATCTACTTAGCCAGAAATTCCTAGGAATAAGGCCCGAAAACCCACACTTTCAATACACAGCGGGGTTTATTTTTACATCTGTAGATGCAATTCATCTTGATAATTAACCTTGGATCAAATCACCTGCCTCTGGGTTTATGAGAACACTGGAATAAACTAAGAGTGGGGACAATTGTGCTCTAGCCTGTGGCCCACTTTTTAAACGTATTCTATGGGTTGTGAGTCCTTGACTTAAACTTCAGCAAAATGGAAGCTGGAATTTGAGGACACAGGAAAGACATCCAGATAGCTATCGATAACAGATGTTACTTGTAAGCAGTGTAACTTGTTCCAACCCCACAGCATCCCAGCTTTAGCTATGGAAGCTAAATGTATTCTTCACCACTGTTCCCTGGCCATGACCTCCACCTTTCTCCACCCCCCATGTGCCTGCAGACAGCCGGTCAAAATAATCACCCGAAAATAGACACAGTAAAAACAAAAGAAGTCAGAGATAAGTGGTCTTTAACACTGCTGGAGAAAAAAAAAAAAAAAAAAAAACATGATAAGCCCTTTGTCAAAATTATCATTCTTCTTAGTAAGTTGTGCCAAACACATGCCATCCTTTTCCTAAAAACTGCTCTATCTAGTTACATTTGCACTAGTCCTTTCTAAATTAAGCTGCACATACACTATGGTGACAGAAACACATGGGAAAGTGTACGTACACACTCTCGCTCACCCACACATATTCCTAAAGTTTATGAAAATTATTAGCTTGTGACTAGCTTATCCTTTCTTGAGTTTGATAACAGACTTGTCAAATACCATTTCTAGAACTCATTCTAAGAAAATAGCTTTAATACATATTCATAACTCATATTCATACACTGGCTCATGAAACTTGCAAGAATACTCTTTATTGAAATATAACCTGCACTAAGCAAATGTTGCCCTTTTTAGGTTAGAGTCCAATAACCTCTGACAGGGCATGCAGTCACACAACCACTACCAAGGCTGCTGAGCTGACAAGCTGCTGAGTCTTGTTCCTCAGTGAAAGCTCCATGAATGGCTACTGCAAGTGGGCTGGGGACAGCACGGGCAGGTGTGGTTTTAATGGAAAACAGATGCCAGACATCAAAGATTTGGTTAAGAGAAATGCAAAGAGCTTAATACTTATGTATTTATTTTTATGTTTATGAATTACGGGGAGTACAGCAAAAATAATTTTACCTGAGTCTTTCCTCCTTTTACGTGCCTATTAGAAAATTAAAAGTTAATGACTGCACTTGTGCCTCAAATTGCCTTTTACTGACAGATGGCTTCCCCTTGCCCTTCTGTAGGGAATATCACATACTGGAACCTGAGCCGGTCAACTCCAATACCTGAAATACTTGTTTTTAAGAGGTTTTAAAAACTTCCCTTCAAATACTTATCCTGTAGCTTCTAATTTTTCTTAAACATGTTGTGGAGGCTTTTAGAACATGTTTAGTATTCATGTTTAACTTCAGAAGAGGTTTTAAAGAGTCACCTAGAGTATTTGCTAGTCTGTTAACTTGCACTCCCAGCCTCAAACGCACTTGGGGCAATACGCTGGCTTCCCAGGGATATGTACGGTGGTCCTCAAAGGCGTGCAGGCCACTGTGCACACACAAGAGCATCTATTCACAGATGCTGCCGGAGGTCGGAGCCAGAGGTGGGGAACCTCCCAAAGCTTCATTTTTCTTAGCCTCAGGAAGTGAAGCAAAAGCTTTATCTATGCAACAGGCTGGGCAATGCACAGCACTGAGCCAGCAGCTGTGGGGGGGAAGCAGGAGAAGGCCAGGAAGCAGGCCTGTGAGGGAGGACTCCATGCTACTCAATGATAATGGCCTGGCCAGCTCATCCCAGCACTGTCTGCTCTGTCTGCTCTGTCTGCTTTGCCCCCGGTCCCTTCTAACTGAACTGAAAAGAATTATTATTTGTAACAGGCATTCATGCTGCCTGCTGTACTTTGTGGTGCAGGAGACTGAAGAGAGGGTCTCACACAGGCTAGTCAAGTGCTCTATGACTGAGCTACACCCCAGCCCTGAGCCCCACCTTCCATTAGGCTCTTGGGAACTGGGTGCCAGCTCCTCTGCCTCTAAATCTTACAATCCTTAGTGGCCAACCTAGAGCATGCCTGCCCTCTGTCAGCTCTTGCCCATCTCCACCTTTTCCTCACAGTGCCCTGAGGACTGGGAAGAAATGGATCATCTGCTTTTTAGGCATTTTGCTAGTAGTCTCCAAAGGAAAGACCACTCTTTGGTCTCTGTGTCCTGGGGAGCCTACTTCCTCCCTATCTTTCCCTTTAAACATTATTTTTTAGTAGAAAACATTGCATCCAGATTAGAATGTTGCCAAAAAAACCTGTCAACCCTCAACAGTGTCCATGGCTTCTGACCATTTGGAGCACATGGCACTCATTTTCCCTCCTAGCCAGAGGCCTCCTCCTGGGTCTTCCTCTCTGATGGCAGAACACACTCAGAAGGGAAGTCTGCACCATCCTAGGTAGGGACACTAACTCTCCAGCTCCTTTGCTGTGACCCCAGAGTCTCAGGCTCTTGCTGTCTAGAGCCACGCTGGCAGGAACAGGCACTAACTAGAACACTCACTCAACTTGCTTTTGTAGAGGCAACCTTCACATAAACAGAATTATGACTAATAAATGTACATGATTAGGGTGGAAATTATTCTATGTCTGAAATATTAGACTAAGATAAATGTTTTTCGTCGGGGGGCACTGCCAATGCAAGGCAGGGGGAGAGGTTCAATTACGGAATAATCTGCACTGAACGTCCTAATCCAATCTCCCATCATCTCAGAGCCTCTGCAGGAAAGATGTTGTTATCTGCTTCACAGATGAAGCAGACTCGTGTTAAGAATCATCTCATGGGGAGATAACTGAGCAATTAAGAGCATTCAGAGCTCAGCCTCCTGTTAGGGTCCTGGCACCCACTTCAGGACACTCACAATCACCTAGAGTCTAGTTACAGGGGATCCAAAACTCTCTGGCATCTATGCGATGTATATATATAGGCTCACACAGGCACCTAGTAATTAATAAATAAATGCATTTGTTGCTGCTACAAGTGGCAGGACTGGGTCTGGAATTTGACAGGTGCTCAAACATGTCAAGTTTCAAAAGCATGTGAATAAATGAGCTATAATCCAATATCAGCTGAGACAAGAGGATCTCAAATTCAAGTCCAGCCTGAGATACAGTCTTCCTGCCTAGGGCTAGATTACAGGTATGTACCACACGGCCACCTAAAATACTTCATTAATTTCAAAAACAGAAAAATATGTGGGTAGCCTGCATTCTCTAGAGACACAGAAACAGGAGATTTTAATGCATAAAAGGAGACTAGTTACAAGGAATTGCTGAGAAGTTCCAAGATCTGGTTCCTCTACCTTAAAGACCCAGCACGGGGTGTGAAAAGCCAAGCATCACATGATATGTGTCAGACTTAACTGCAGTCTCTCGGGATGAAAACAGAGGGAAACGTGGAAAGATCTCATGGACCCAAATGAGTCAAACGAATGCTGTTCAGCCTGCTGTATGAGCACAGCATACTCTGGAAGGGAAGGGCAGACGCTGTCCCTTCACACACTTCTGATTATAACTTGGTTCCTTTGTTGGCATAGTAACCAACAGTCTTGGAACACGGACTTCTCAGAAGCAGTTGGGCTTCACAGCCTTCAGACATGGGATCTGAAGTTCTGACTCCCTTGTTCATGTCTCGGGAGCGGGCAGCACCTGTCTCATGTAGGCAGCCCTCAGAGCAGGGCACGACAGAGGCATGTGTGTGAGTGTGTGAGTGAGCGTGTGTGCGGTCTTCCAGCTCTACCAATGGGGGATCACGGGAGATGCAGAATAAAGATGCTAGTAGATGGTGGGGGACGGGCACTGGGATAGCAGTCATCTCTCCAGAAAGCAATCTGGTGTCAGCTCTTGTAAGACAGTATGTTTGTGATCTTTGGCCCACTAACCCCACGTACCATTTAACGGTCTTAATGTGGTCATTAATCACCTCCGTTAATGATTATTAGTCAGTGACACCCAAGGCTATTTAATAAGAAAATTATTAAGAATGCAGAATAGCTCTATGTTGTTATAAACTTAATAATAAGTTTGTTGATGTGAGAACCACGTGTATTTAGGTCTGTGTATATATGTACATATATGCCTCGGGATAGTGAGCTGAAGCATACTGAACTCCATTCACACCTCCCTGTTATTTTGAAATTTCCCTTTTCTCTTGTAATTCTAAGTCCTCTCACCTACTATCAAACAAAAGAGGTGCCAGCGGGTTTTTGTCATACTGTGAAATGTTCTTACAGAGGCAGAAAGTACAGACAAGACGGACTACACTGTAAGGAATGGGATAGTTCCACGTAGGAAGAGGGATGAGTCACACATGCGTCCCTTCTCAACATCACTTATTCATTTTCTCTCTGAAGTTTCCTGAGTCCAGGAAGACATGAGACCGGCGGCCCTGCACACCATGACAGCTTCCTCCTCCAGCAGTGACTACAGCAGTACAGACGACTCTGCTTCTGAGTATGGATCCAAGCACAGCCCCTCAGTGGGACACTACCCCTCTGAGAACACGTTTTCCTACGAGGATGTGGCCCCTTGTAAGGAGACAGCTTCCAGAGATGCCGAGGTCCACTTCCTCCCTCCTAGTCAAGGTACCTGGGGGACAGAGAGCTTGAGGAGACTCCTCAGGAAGCGAGAGAAGATGGAGCATGCTCCAGACCAGTTCTGCAAGCTGAGCATCACGCTGGCCTGGGACTTCGATGTGGGCTCCGACCAGGAGGACTCACCAGCTAATCTGGATCTAAATCGCCACAGCCAGTGGATGGACAAATGGCCCGAAGACAGTACAAAACTGACTCCCTGCAAACTGGATAACCTAGTACAAAACCTTGAGACATTTCTAGAAAAAGGTGGCCAACACGGTGGCTGTGTGCTCCCTGAGTCTACTCAGAAGGAAGACCTCCACCTCAACAGCAGTGCCTGTTCACATACAACTCAGGTCAGTCACAAAGACCTGCCCAGGTACAAAGCACGGGAAAATGAAGACATCCATCAGGTCCTAGAGAATCCACCAAGGCTATAGAAAGAGGAAGTTGGGGTGAGCACTGAGATGCCTCCCAGGAGAGCAAGGGGCATGGCTGGGAAAAGACGGTTGGATGTTGGAGCCTCACTACCTGCTGGGAGGCAAGGTGGGCCCAGAGACTAGGACAGAGGGAACAGGAGAGAGGGCAGAGCTGAAGGAAAGATACTGCAGAGCATGGAGGGAGGGAGGAAGGAAGGAACAGAAAGTAGAACCAACAATCACATGAAAATGAATGTGTGTGTTGACATCAATGGGTCTGGAAGCTTTGCTATATTTGGGCTATCTTGGGCAAACAGGCTTGGGTTCTATGAGGGATGGACAGTGTGCCCACTGCTGACACATGCACCTAACTCATCCTGTTTTCTCAGCAGGAGATACAGCAAGCAGACGAGAGCTCCTTGGACGGCTCCACGTCATCCGCACAGGCAGAGGAGGCTTCCCACTCACACTACACATCCTGTCTGAACTTTCGCTGGGTCTTGCACTGGCTGAGGACACAAGTCTTCTCCCGATGGAGAAGAGAGCATGTTAGGCAGGCTGCCATCAGCTGGCACCAGAAGGCAGCGAGAAAGATAAATTCTCTTAGAGGCAACAGAATCCAACCCCAAGAATGACCTGAGACTGAGCTTATCTGCCATCCTCAGATTTTTAAGCCTTTGAACCCCTTGTCTAACAATCCCTAACAGGTATGTGATGTTCTCTCCTCCACCTCACAAACGAGGAAATCAAGACTTGGAGTATGCAGGGGTAGTTTCCAATCTTCACATTCCTTCTAACCAGCCACTTCCTACAACCAGTATGCTGGGAACAACAAGCATGCCTCAAGCAGCCTGGCCCCCTGGACGATCCTGTCTTGATGCTGGAACCATGGCCAATGAGTCACTGCAAAAAAGCTCTCCACCTGCCGGAAGCACAACCCAAACCACCCTCCATGGTGGGAGGCCGGTGGGGTACATGCTGCCTTCTGAAAATGAGGGGTTGAGTCAATGAAAGAATGAGTAAAGACATACATAAGCAGAATGGAGCAAAAGACAGCAAAAAGAAGGGGTGGAGGGGACTGTTAATTTAGGAAGCAGAATACTACTAAGTTTTCCATGAATAAATTCAGGCTTCTGAATTCAACAAGCGTGTTTTCAGCCTTAGTCCAAGTAATCTGCTGGGAGAAGACACAGATAACAGAAATCTGTGTCTACTGAGGAATAAAGCCTGTAGGACTATTGAACAGGGCACCATTTTTACCAAGTCCACGCCTGATCTATACTAGAGAATAAGTGCACTGCGTTAGCAAGATTCTTACTCATTTTGACCTCTGGAATTACGTGGCAACAGGAAAAATTCCAGCACTGCTCATTCATCCTAGTGTCCAATTTGTTATTCAACCGAAGCAGGTCCCCTGTGCCACACGTGTGGAGGGGGTGGGGCTAGCCACTGCAAGCATCAAAAAGCAAGCATGAGCTAGAAGTAGCTATTGAAAGAAAAGACGTTTGCTGAACCCTGAAGTCTCCTGTGAAATTACTGTAATTGTCAGGAACACAGTAATCTCATTAATAAATTTTGGGACTTATGACTGAAAAATAAAACCATGCTTTTGAGTGAGTCTCAACCCTGAAGTGGAGGCTCAGTAGCTTGAATTAACTGGGTATAACTTATGCAATCATATTCTAGAATTCACAATACTGTAATATAGGCTAGAATGCAGCATAAGATTTATCACACTTGAAAGTTACTCAGCTTTCTGCAAATCCTTATGCTAATGTGACTATATTATAGACCATGTACAAAAAGAACCCCAGGAGGGTGTGAGGTGATCTATCAGTAAACACAGACAAAATCTTTTTTGTCAAGACTTATAGAATACAATGCAAATTTGCCATTCCAGAGCAGGCCTCAGTTCAAGGCTCTTCAGACACAAGGTGTGGGCATGCTGGCACACACCTTTAGTCCCAGTGCTTGGGAGGCAGAAACAGATCTCTGTGAGTGTGAGACCAGCCTGGTCTACATAAGTTTCAGGATAGCCACGGCTACCTAGGGAGACCCTGCTTCAAATTTCCCTAAAAGATAGGAGAATTAAAAAAAAAAAAAAAAAAAAAAAAAAAAACATTGCTAAATGAATTCCTAGAGAACGCCAAGGCTTTAACTCTCAGTAAAGAATGAAGTAGTTAAAAGGAAGAACCACTTGGCTCAAAAGTGCGTCGCCTCATTATGAGCCACAATGAAGAGTTTACACGGTGTCTGATTCTAGGATGACAGGTGGTTTATGTTGCATGGCCTGCCATGAGGCTTTTCCTGCTTCCCCTTCGCCCCCAGCAAACAGAACAATGGTCAGCTTTCAGAAGAAACAAAACCCCCATCAGATAACACTGCAAAACGAGCCAGTCTTCAGCAGAGTGGGTGCAAAAGCCCTGGACAAAATTCCCTGAAAGATGATTAGCCTACATCAAGAAGTCCCCTTGCTAAACAATTTCCACCTTATCCAACAGCTGAGTTGAACCTCGTGGACTTAGTGCCATTTTATTTCAGTATAATAAGACTACTTCCAAGGCACTGAGAGCATCTCTCCTGTTTGTGGCTTTTGAAAAGCAAACTACTGTCATCACCACAGCATTCTCTATCCAGAAGAGACTAAGAACAATGACTGACTTTCATTCTCCTGTTCTCCCTCAATATCCATCATTTTAAGTAAAAAAAAATCCTCTAAAATGAAAAGAGCAGTCACTCCCCTGACCTTGACCGTGGAAGTCCGCCCACTGTCACACAGTAGACAGCACAGCAGATGCTCCGGTGCTCAGTCTGTGGGCTCTTAAGTTTACCTAAAAGGGGTGCGGTGAGAAACACTGTTTATCAGTAAAGTAGCCCCAGAACTTCCATTTGTAAGGCATTGCAACATAGCAGTTTCATTCATGTAAGGATCAGAAACAGACAAGGAAGCTACTGGGTGAAGGGCTGTCAGGGCACAAGATATGAGGGTGGTCCAAGAATCACCCCACAAGTGGAAAACGGCCCCGCCAACACCATACACCTGCAAGAGAAGCAGCAGAAGCTGGCCGGCAACAACAGACCTGAATCTCACCACACGTTCAGGAGCGGTCAGATAAATGTTAGCTTACAGAACACTCCGCTCGACAACTCTCTAACAAACATGTTAGCATCACAAACACAAAACACGTTCTTTAAAAATTGAGGCAGAGAGACATGACAGGTCATAATGGAGACAACAGACACTGAATCCTTGGTCAAATCCACAAAGCTAAACAGATCTTAGGATTTTTCGTAACATCTGGAAAAAAAAAACGAAATATGGACAGTATATAATTAAGTAGATGTATTAGTCATGATTCTCCAGAGAAACAGAACTTACAGAATGAATTTATATTTATTCTTCATATATTTTATATAATAAATATATATAACATTTATACATTCATTAGGGCCTACAGGCTGTGGTCCACCGAGTCCAACAGTGGCTGTCTACCAGCAGAAGGTCCAGGGATATGGTGGTTGTTGAGTCCGTGTGCTGGGTGTCTTGGCTGATAGTCAGGATATGCTGGAATCCTAAAGAAGCAGGCTCTAATGCCAGGGTCAGATGGACTTGCAGCAACAGCGAGAGCAAACAAGCCATGACCAAGCTTCCTTCTTCCATGTCTCAGCTCAAAGACCTGGAATAAAGGTGTATCTTCCTACCTCAAAAGATTGATTAAAAGTGGGTCTTCCACTTCAGATGATTTAATTAAGAAAAAAATCCCTCCCAGGTATACTGAGCCCCATAAGTTTTAGTTAATTCCAGATGTAGTCAAGCTGACAACCAGGAACAGCTGTCACAGTCATTATCAACAGGTGAGCAGCTGTGTTAGCCATTCAGTCATTAGCCATTAACAGTAAGGCTATGTAACAGAACACCTTTGATTCTTTACAAACAACAGAATAGCCCATCGGTGGTGGCACACACTTTCAATCCCAGCACTCGGGAGGCAGAGGCAGAGGCAGACTGATCTTAGTGAGTTTGAGGCCAGCCTGGTCTACAGAGCAAGTTCCAGGACAGCCAGAGTGGTTACACAGAAAAACCCTGTCTCAAAAAAAAAAAAAAAAACAAACAAACAAAAAAAAACACCCCCCCCCCCCCCCCCCCCAAAAAAAAACAAAGACCAAGAAACCATTAGGAAAAATAAACTCTAGGGACCAGGGAGCCCAGCTCTACTAACACACGTTCACTGCAGATACCTTAGCCACACACACAGTTGAACCAACCGCGTACTAACTTGCTGAGGTTATGGAAGGGGGCAGCTCTTCATCCAGACGCCCCCGTGCATCCTGGGACCTGTCTTGGAGTCCTGGGCTCCGAGGAACCTCCAGTCTCACGCACAGCTATGGAATCCTCAGTTCCTAACTGCAGCACACACCGGTCTAGCTGGGAGCAGAATGGCATCAAAGTGTTCTTCCAGCACAGGATCTCAGCTTACTTAGCTTTGCTGAGGTTAGAAAGAATAGTTTTGCTCATTAGAGTTAAATCCCTATCCTTTCGATGAGCTTACCTTTCCAGGACTTGCCATCTCGGCTGCCTTGGGAAGAACTCACTGTACGAGCCTCTGTTCCTCACCAGGCAGGACCAGTACACATCAAAAGCAGAGGCCAAGCGCTGAGAGAACGGTGCACACCAGGGAGCACACAACTGAGGCGTAGGCCATCGGAAACAAACACACACCGGCACAGACTGCTCACTCTGCGAGCAGTTTACAACATTCAGAAACAGCTTTATCTTTGATCCCGGGTTAAAGAACAGACTTAAGGCTTCCCGGCTTCGGTCCCGGGTCAACTTAACCTGCTGTGAATTCTAAAGTTACTGGACCTATCTGGGACCTTTAACAGAAAAGGCGGTAAGGAGTAGTTGGTACACGTGCTAACGGCAGCCATGTTACAGAGTCTAAGTGCTGCTCGCTGCCGTCCCAGAACAGCCTCGACAGTCCTCCCCACACACCTCAACACTCTGGCCTCAGACTTGCCGTCAGAGCCTCTGCAGGCTTCTCTCTGCGCTCGGCCTCAGGGCCTGGGCTCATGCTGCTTCCTCTGTCAGGAACTGCCTAGCCTTGCCCCCCCCAGGGTCCACTCTGCTTCTCCTCTGTTCTCCAAATGAACCCTTCAGGAGCAGGCTAAACTCAAGTCACGCTACAGAAGGGAGCAGGCGCTGCTTAGTGCCTTCCCCACCTTCCTTGTCCTCAAAGCACTAAATGCTCATTTCACTCTGACTTGCAGAAATCAGAACAGAGACTCATGTCCACCTCTTTCTCTCTCAGCAGACAAAGGCTCTGATGTTCTGCTTATCTCTGCATGCCCCAAAGCCCCTGACCCAGTTTCTCATACAGCAGCTCCATGATAAACCTCTGGTGAAATGAATGGTTAATCTGCAGGAAACAATTTAGGTAGATAAGATCTGGGGTGGAATGTCATTTCCTTTCACAACCTTCTGACAGCTTCTCTGGGGGTATATCTGTCCCTCAACCACATGACCAGCAACTGGGGTCACTTTACTCACAGGTCTTCACGTTTTGTTTATGAAATGTGTCCAGTGCTAACAGTGTGCAAACCCAAACCACTACTCTGGGTGCTTTCAGGATGGCTG